AAAAGCCCGCGACTATAAAAGTCGACTCAAGCAACAAAAGTTGCATGCCTCGAGTGAAATCTCGGCAAAGCTAGAAAAACCTGCGACTGCAGAAGTCGACTCAAATGACAAGTCTCATATAATCCGTTTACGGCTGCAAAAACACTAACTACAAAATATGTAAGCAAAGGAGATGTCGACAAACCCACAATCGCATAATTGCAAGCAAAAACTCGAAGAATACATGAACAACGTTGCAGGAACATAACGACTTGAGCCAAATAAAATGAGGAGTAATATATAAAAAAAGATTCATTACAAGAGTCGTCTCAACCTTTACAAATTGGAAAACTAGGTTGATCGGAACGAAAATAAACAATAATTAGAAGGCAAGAAGCCTCGAGAATACAACTAAGGGATGACGTCTTCATCACTCTTCTCGAGGATGGTTACGACCTGATCACCATCCTTCGGCTCGGCAGGTTGGACGGGGGAGGACACGGGAGCATCCAATTGATAGGTGAACTTGGCTTCCCGAATAACCTTTGCCTCGAGACCGGTCCACCAGGGGTAGTCGTCCGGAAGGGACGGATCACCCTCATAGCCGTCAGGGTCAGGAAGGTCGACTCGCCCAGCAAACTCAGAACCCGCAACCGCAGATTTCCAAGCATCAAAGGCATAGTCAAAATATTGGACAGCGGCGGGGCAGAGCTTGTCGAGGAACTCAGGAGAATTACAGAAAGCCCTGACGACTTCCTTGCGGTACTCGCGGACAAAGGCAGCGCCTATGCCAGTCCTCAAAAAAGATTTCCGGCCCTCAACGATGCCGATGTCCACTTCGTACATATTCGCCTCCTGAGCCTTCACAAGGTCGACCTGAAGCTTCTCTTTCTCGTAAACGGCAAAGGCCTTGTCGGCTTTCAACTTTTCGACCAGGGCCTTAGAATCCTCCAGCTCTTTCTTTAGCTGGGCATTCTTCCTGAGTTGTGCCTCATACTTCTCCTCGAGGGCATGACCGGAGGAAGTGGGGGGTCGAGTGCCGGCCTTAAGGCCAGGGAGAGCAGCCGCCATAAACTAAAAAAAAAAAAACTAATAAGGAAATGCAAAAACAAAATGCGCAAGATAAACGCGTGAGAACAAAGCTCATACCCGAACTAGGCATTGGGTAGCATAGCAAGAACGCTCATACTCGGTCCCCTCGACACGAGCCTTGTCGGCCTCGGGGAGCACGGAGTAAAGGTACT